CTGCAAAGGAAATGTCGGGACGAGTAATCGTAAGATAATTCAATTTTCCAACCAATCTTCTATCTTGCTCAGGATCGAGATATAGGCTCCCCCGATTTGGTAGAAGTTTAGTATTGGGATCCATGGGTGTATCAACATACTTTGAACTCATCAACCCAGTTTCCTCCAAAATATCTATGGCATACTTCCTCCGAGATATAACAATACCATCATTGGATCTGTGCTACCTCAATACCCAAGAAATATCTAAGTTTGCCAAGATCTTTGGTCCGAAAATGGTGACAAAGATGTTGTTTCAAGCGAGAGATGTCATGGTTGTCACTACTGTAAGAACAATATCATCAACATATACTATCAAGTAAACACATCCGAGCACTTCGAGTGTCGATAAAAGACAGAATGATCTGATTCACACCGAGTCATACCAAATTGTTGAACAACCTTGCTAAACTTTCCAAACCAAGCCCTAGGAGACTGTTTTAGGCCATATAGGGATTTGCGAAGACGACATACCATCCCGAGAAGACTCCCCCGAGCAACAAACCCAGGAGGTTGCTCCATATATATTTCTTCTTGCAAATCACCATTGAGGAAAGCATTTTTAACATCCGAGTTGATAAAGAGGTCATTGTTGAAGAAGCGACCATGGCGATAAATAAGCGAGCGAAGCCATCTTTGCCACGGGGAAAAAGTATCTCCATAATCCAACCCAAAAATTTGAGTATAACCTTTGGCCACAAGACGAGCTTTGAGGCGATCAATAGTACCATCAGGTCCAACTTTGATAGCAAACACCCACCTGCAACCAACAACAGATTTCCCAGACGGTAACGGGACCAATTCCCAAGTTCCACTATTATGAAGAGCACTTAGTTCATCTAACATGGCCTGTCGCCAACCAGGATGGGCTAAAGCTTCACGGACAGTTTTTGGAATGGTCACAGAAGAAATAGAGGAAAGACATGTATAAAAAGGTAATGACAGTCGATGATAACTCAAAGCAATATAATGGGGAGAGGGATTACGTGTAGAACGAATACCTTTTCGGAGGGCAATGGGAAGGTCAGACTCATGTGTCAGATCCGGAGGAGACAGAGTAGTTGGCACTTGAGTAGAGTCACATGGTGGTGGTTGTGATTGGTTTCGAGAACTATAAATCGAAGAGGCGGTGGAGAAGAAGCTAAGCTGCGGAGCGAGAACTAATGGTGAAGAAGACACAATTAGAGGGTCACAAACAACGAGGAACATTAAATGTATTAGGAGTGTTGACAAGATTGGATGGAGACAGAGGTGAAGTTTGACTTTTAAAATAAAGAGACAACTCATCAAAGGTGACATCTTTTGACACAAAATAACGGTTAAGAGAAGGAGAAAAACATTTGTATCCTTTTTGTGATCTTGTAAACCCTAAGAAAACACATTTATGTGATCTAGGAGAAAGCTTGTCAGGACTAGGAACTAAAATTATGAACAAAACATGTAGACCGAAAACTTTCGGAGGTAAAGGATGAAGTGGTTCATGAGGGAATAAAATGGAATGAGGTATTTTATTATCTAAAACCGAAGAAGGCATGCGATTAATGAGATAACATGCGGTAAGAAGAGCATCACCCCAAAAATGTTGAGGAACATCTCCATGAATTAAAAGTGTGCGAGTTGTTTCAATAAGATGTCTATTTTTACGTTCGACTACACCATTTTGTTGAGGTGTATAAGCACAAGAAGTTTGATGCAAAATACCGTGAGAAGCCATGAATTGTTTAAAAGAATGAGAAAGATATTCACGGCCATTATCACTACGCAAAACTCTAATAGAAACACCGAGCTGAGTTTGAATTTCATTAAAAAAAGTTTGAAAGATATGAAATAATTCAGAACGATTTTTCATCAAAAATAACCAAGTGCATCCGGAATAATCATCAATGAAAGTAACAAAGTATTGAAAACCTAAAGTAGACTTAACGCGGCTAGGTCCCCAAATGTCGAGTGAACCACGGCAAAGGGGACGAAGCACCACGTGTGAAACTACGAGGAAAGGAAGTACGACTATGCTTGCCTAATTGACATGACTCACACGCCAAACTAGATAAGTTAGACAAGGCGGGGACAAGTTTACGTAACTTGGCAAGACTTGGATGACCTAAGCGAGCATGAAGAAGAGGGAGACTCCATAAGCTGTACTAACATGTGTAGAGGGACGGAGATAATAAAGACCATGAGACTCACATCCTGTGCCAATCACACTGTTTCGAACTCCGGTCCTGTAAACACACCGAATTGTTGGTAAAAGTAACAACACAATCAAGAGAACGAGTTAGACGACCGATGGACAACGAGGTTAAAAGGAGACCCAGGGACATAAAGAACATTATCAATGGTTAAAGAAGGAAAAAGTTTAACCGTTCCAACACCATGAGATGATACTCTAGAGCCATCGACCAGGTGTAACGAAGGTAAATGATTAGGAGAGGATAAAGAGGAGAACAAAGATTTGTTACCGGTAATATGATCAGTGGCTCCTGAATCAAAAACCCAAGGACCAGGAGAAAATGATTGGGTCGGACCAGCGAAAATATGTATTTGTATGTGTGACGGATATAGTGGAACTAGAAGGCTGTTGATCCTTATACCATTCGAGAAATTTGTTGAACATAGCGGACATGTCGGATGCAACGGAAGAAGGAAGATCCCTACGGATAAAGGTGGGGAAAGATTGGTACGAACAACTACGGCAGGTCGAGGAGGACGACCATGTAATGTATAACACTTGTTAATCTTGTGACCTAGCTTGCCACAATGTTCACACTTAGGACGCCCTTTTTCCGTTTGCGAGGGCGAGCCCGGTCATCACGATGGGATGTCAACACAAAAGAATCGTTAACAAAATTGGAAATAGTGGAAGAAGTCATGAAGAGCGGGAGAACAAACCCTGACCGAGACAAGCAAAATCATATGTCACCGGTAAAAAAAAAATGAAACTCCGGCGAATTCTCCGACAGTGGCGGACCGGAGAGCTGCTCCAGCGGCAGCGGTGACGATAACGTGAACTAGTACACTAGGTAAGTTCCCGGGAAAGAGAGGTGGGTCACTAATGGACACACTTAAATACCAAGTCTTTCCTTGTCGAACTTTCCTAAACATGCACTTTCACACTACCAAATAAAATTCAATGACAAAGATAATTCTTTTCGATGTGGAGGATCGGTTTACCGACGGCGGTGGGGCGGCTTTAGCGACGGTGGGGAGGCTCTAGCGGCGGTGGGGCGGCTCCAACAGTGGACAAAAGGCGGAAAAAAAAAAATTCAAGAGAACCTTAAGCTCTAAATACCATGTTGAATATAGAGAAAATATGGTTTGGAATTAATTTCTCTTGTGTATAAATCACACATAGGGTAGTCTATTTATAGTAGAGATATACAACTAAAAGAGTAACTGAAAGTAACAGAATAAACAGAAGATATTGTTTGATATTGTGGTTACCAATATCTAACAATATCTTAACAATATCAAATAATATATAAACAATATCTAACACCGTCGATAAAATAATAATTAGTTACCAAGCGGATATATCCATCGATAAATCAGTCGGTAATTTATAGATGAATTTACAGATGGATATATCCGATCGGTAAATCAGTCGATAAATTAACAAGTAATTATCGACCGGATATATCCGTCGGTAAATTCATATGTAAATTAAAAATTATTTACCGACGGATAAATCAGTCGGTAAAATTACATAATATAATTTAATTATTCACTAATTAAAAAATAAAATATTTTTTATTTAATAATTTAATTTAATCATAATTAGATTAATTTATAATAATTTATTAAATTAAGTAATTTTAAAAATAAATATTTAATTATATAAATATATATAAATATATATATATATATATATATATATATAAATATATAAAAATATAAAAATATATAAAAATATAAAAATATAAAATATAAAATATATAAATATATAAATATATAAATATATATATAAATATAAAAATATATATAAATATATATAAATATATATAAATATATATAAATGTATATAAATATATATAAATATATATAAATATATAAATATATATATATAAATATATATATATAAATATATATAAATATATACAAATATATACAAATATATATATAAATATATATAAATATATATATATAAATATATATAAATGTATTTGTATATTTGTATATAAATATAATTTATTTGTAAATTGTTATTAAGAAATTCTAGTAGGCTTAGTGGTTGGAGTATCGTATCTCGACTACTAGAGTGCTGGGTTCAATCCTGCCAATGACATTTCTCTTAATCGACAATAATATAAGGGGAGGAGTTCTATAAAAAAAATAATGTTATAAATAAGTAAAATATTTAATAATTAATAAAATTATTACCGACGGATCTGGATCCGTCGGTAATTTCAGTAACATATTTACCGACAAGCGAATTTCTGACGGATTTTTGGCCGTCGGAATTCCGTCGGTAATATTCATTTACCGACGGATTTTGACCGTCGGTAATTTTAATATTTTTTGTAGTGGCAAGCATGTATCTTCCTATATTCTAAACTCATCGGACAAAGTATCTTCTTCGCTTCATACATATGGTCCGAGCAAGGTGTTATTGTCCGGGAGCATCTCCTTCAAAAGTTGGAGTAATTCATTATTTTTTATTATTGATAAATAATATATTCTTTTGTCCCTCAAAATCAATGATCATGGTCCGTGACGCGAATATCATTTTAAAGTATTTATGTATTGTTAAAAAAAATATCTTTATTAGGCAAGTGAATAGATGAGAATTCAAATCTGGACTAAATATTTTTTTAATGTCTTTTTTATATTTGTCTCATTTTTGTTTCAATAAATTAATATTTAGTCATTTTATGAATGATATTTAGTATTATAATACTGATATTAAGTATCTATGTTTCAGGTTGGTGACCCTGGTGAGTTGTTTAGGGACAAAGATTAATCCAATGCTTGAAAAATTGACTGGGTATACATTCAACGTTAAGGATGACTCTTGTGATGAAACTGGAATTGATGGAAAAATGTTGGTGCAAATTTGTGGTGCCGTTGGTGGTGCCGTTGGTGTGGCACTGGTAGCTATTGCTCTTATCTGGGTTATTTGGAAGATGATTGGGGTCATTTTCAGATGTTGTTGCGGAAGAAGGAGGACAATGAAGGCTCCAGGGAGGAACCGTCGCATTTTAAGGGCCGACTTTGAACGTAATCCTGCAGCTTATTTTCGTAATTTGCATAACGATTAACGAAATGGATTATTGGTTTGAAATTTTGAATGTGTTGACGTACGTCAAATTAGTAGCTTTTACGTCTTAGACGTGAAAAAATGAACTTATTATATTAAGGCTTGTTCGTGTTTGTATGGTGCATGTTTGACGTTATTCTGGTATTACATGTGATTTGATGTTTTTGTCGTAAATATGTTGTTATTTGTGTGACACTATGTTTATGATGTTGGCTGAGATTGAAGTGCAATATGATTATAAATTTAGCACTATGTTGTTGTTATTTGATGAGATTGAAGTTTGTGTTGATTTAACCTTTTTTATTTATTTACGAGAGAATCTGTGATACATGTTATTGACCATTTTTTATTTGAATTTTTAAATATATATGTTTTTTAATGTTTTAAGTGATTGTTTGGATATATGCATCTATCATGTAGAAAAGTACTTTAGTTCACATTCAAAATAGAAAATAATTACTTATAAAAAAAATTAAGTTTTAGTAACATTTTTTTTGGGGGGACAAACTACTTTTTCAGATTTTCATGCGTATTTTCTTTTACTTGTTTACGCTCTATGCGTATATATATGTCTTGTTAACAAGTTAAAAAGGATATCAATAAAAGTAGTGTTCACGTGGAATGATATAAAATGATTTGAATGGATTAATCAAATTTGTTTCCAGAGAAATTGAGATAAATAAGGAGAAGTCATTTACGCTATAGTTATCAAAATTGGACTGGACCCAGCTGTTCAATTGGTTGGACCAAGAATCGGAGTAATAATTGATTTGAAGTTTTTTAAAAATAAAATAGTGGTATTATTATCTTTACTACAATCATCAAAATACAATCATAATCTCTTAATTTCAAAAATTAATTTGATGAATAATCAGTGAGTTATCTTTGGATTTCATAACTATATCTTTAAATAAAATAAAATAGATAATAAAATTTGAAGTTATATGCAATAAAATATATGGTGTAATTTTTCCCCTTAATTATTTTTAAGTTAGATGTAATTTTTTCTCTAATTATTTTCAAGTTAACTGTAATTTTTTTCCCTAATTATTTTCAAATTAGGTGCAACGACCTAGATAGATCCAAGATTCTTATTTCGAAGGGAGATGAATGGCTGGTTTGCTATGAGACTCATCGACCTTTGGAGTGAATAGAAAGAAAGAAAGGATTGTTGGGCAATTTTTTTCACTAATTGTTTTGTTATCAAAGTGTTTGATCATATATTTATTCATATTACTTTTCTTTATGTATTATACAAATCATTTTTATTATTATATAATACTTTTTCAAGTAGCATTTATATTATATTAAAATTGTTATTATATTATCATAAACTTATTTTAAGTTCAATATATTATTTTATTAAATCCAGTTCAATTCTAGTTTAATTCTCAATTAAACCTTGATTAAACATTTGAACTTTAAACTCATATATTCATTAGTTTCAAGATCGGTCCAATTTTAAGAACTATGATCTACGCAGAGAATGTCAGTTTTTTTTAAAATTACTATTTTACCCATAAATTATCTTTCAAATGTCATTTTTACTTTTCATTAACCACTCATTCATCATTAAATTTAATTATTTATATTTTTATTATTTCATAATTATTATAATATTATATTTATATTTTTATTATTTCATAATTATTATAATATTATATAATGTTTTTATAAAAATCATACGTAAATAAATTATGTATTAATTATTTTTTTAAATAACTTTAATTAAATATTAAAAATAATATTTTTTTAATTTGTCTTTTAATTTTCTCTATTATTTTTATTCCATAAAGTTATTATACTTTAAAAATTATTTTATAATAATATTATTTATAACAATATATAAATACTAATTATTATTATTATATTAATAATACTAATAATAAAAATAATAATAATTATATGAATAATTATTATAATAATAATTTCTAACTTATATATTTTATTTGATAATAAAATATTTAAATTTTTATATATTTTAAATAATACATCACATTTAGTTTCAATATTATTTACTTAACTTATATTTTATTCTCAAATATTTATTTAAGTCAATTACAAAATTATAATCTAATTATTTTATCAATTAGATTTTAAGTTTTTAATCTATCAAATCAATTATATCATTCACATACTTTTATCATATTTTCTTTCATTTCTAATTTACTTTACTTGATTCAAACAACCTCAACTTTACTTCTCTTTTTGTTCAAACTCACTCGTTTTTACCCCTTAAATTCATTCTCTTATCAAAACACACATTATTTGCATTTATAGATTTGCCTAAATGTATAAGGATTTATATATATATGGCTCGCATTCAGAAACCCTCACATCTCAAAGAAAAAAGGACGTTTGTAAAAAAAGTGGATAAATTATCCAAAACACCCGCGAATGCATAATAGATTATGCAACACTACATAATCGTCTATCATAAAGCATTTTGATTATGCCATCATTTTAGTATCATTTTTTTATCTTTTTATTTAAAAATTTAATAAATAATCTTTGGAACTAAAAAAAAGTTTAATCGTTTTATTGATTTTAATAAGAAATATTAATATTACATTTAGATATAGAAAATATTAAATTTATATTTAACTTTTTTATTAAAATAAAAATTCATAAATAAATATTACATTTTCTAAAATATAAAAAAATTTCTTCCTTTTAAAATTAGATTATGAATTTAAAATATTATATTTATCAAAATTGATAAATTAAAAAAAATAATTTTAAAATTAATATAATAATCACTCAAATTAAATTTTACCATATCTAATTTTAAAATATAATTTTAATTGTTTTAATAATTACACCTTTCATTTTTACTTAATTTATTCGTTGTATCTCACAAACCTAATTTGGTCATTATACTAAAAATATTATTATTCAATTATTTTATATTCAATTACATCATAACATTCATTCAAATATCTTCAAATTCATTATCTTTCTATCAATCTAAACAACTCAAAAAATTCACTCAAATTACTTCAAATTCACTCCTCAATCTAGAGAGAGAAGGTAAAAGAAATTTAACCCCACAAACTCATTCAAATTATTTCATATTCACTCTCTCAAATCCACCTCCCAATCTAAATAGAAGCTAAGAGAAATTTAATATAAATTAAAAAAACACTCTTTTTTTTTTCTCAAACTAATGAGTATAGTAATACTTTATTTAAAAAAAAAACACGAATATTTTATGATATAAAAAATTATTTACAATTCATAAAATTATGGAAACAGAAAATAGTTGACCCATTAACTCAACAAGAAATGTATAACACTTGTTTAAGTACATTTAATTTTTAAAATATAACTAAACAAAAACATCTTAGTATTATTGATTTAGATTTTGCTAATATTTTTATATTCAGTATGTTATATTAATGTTGAATCATAATCATCAAAATGTTACACACACAAATAAATGTTAATCATTGCAATTTATACGAAATTCCTTTTTTTCACTGCAATTATAAGGAATTTTCTATTATTATCATTTTAGGAAAAATATAATTAACATGTTTTCGTGGATCAGAATCGCTAAATTCCAACAATACTGTCAAGGCTTTTCTTCCCGACCCCGTGATTTTTCTTTAGATGTGAAATATGTGAGATATCTAAAATATCATTTTCATCATTTTTTTATTTTTATTTGTATATAATTTTTGTATCTTCATTCTTAGTTATTTGATTTTTTTTTCATCCTTTAATGAAAGTCTTTTCTAATAAGTAAAGATAAATAATTATTAATAATACGAATGAATTATATATTTCTATATTTAAATTATACAAACATATCCATGTTACACAATTTGAAATAAAGTTAAATTTCAAAAAAGTTAATCATAAAATGTATTCTAAATTTGGTGTTCTGAAAAGATTAATAAAAACTACATTTCAGAGTAGGTGATCTGGAATGCATTTTTTGAAAAATCAATCCAAAAATATATTTCGGATTGGATGTTCTAGAAATGCATTGGATGTTCTGAATGTATTTCTAAAAAGACCAATGCATAAATGTATTTTGGATTTCTGAAAAAGTAAATCCAAAAATACATTTCAGATTGAACATGTTTCTAGAAAAACTAATTCAAAAACATATTGTGGAACACCAAATTTATAAAACATTTTCGGATTGACTTTTCTTAAAATTAGATTTTGAAACGAGTGTTTTGAGATATGTTTCAATATCAATTCGAAATGCATTTCAAATATAAAAAATAAAGATAAGTAGAAAGGTAAAATGTAGTTTAAATTAATTAAGAAGTTAGAAGGAAAAATTATAAATACAAAAAGTAAGACTGTCAAATAAAATGATAGTTGATAATAGAAAATAAATTATATAATACAAATTAGAATATCTTAATCATATTTATTATATAATTTTTTAAAATTAGAAAGTTGGTAGTAAAAATTGTTAGTAGTCTATCATTTAATTACCAAATTATATTTATTTGTAGCGGAAATAAAAAATAAATAAGATAAAATTACTATAAAAATATACTAAAATACATAATATATTTTCCCATACCTCTTTAAATAGTAATTTAGTTTCTTCAAAACCTATAATAGAGAAACGAAAATTTTGATTTAATCATCAAATGTTAAAATGTACGAGAATTGTATGTCCTATTATCATAAAACTTAAATATAAAATAGTTTTTAAACTATAAAATTTAATATCAAATCAACAGTCATATATTACAAACTCAATTTAAAATTAAAATAACTCCTTAAACATCAATAACAAAGTAATTTCATGAAATTTAATAAAACGACTTTTATTTAAGCATTTAAATATTCACTACTGCAGAAAAGGCTTTTTACATCGGTTAAAATGGGCTTTCGACGTCGGTTAATAGGAACCGACGTAGAAAGCCTTATTTTCTTTGAGCTATTATGATCGGTCAAACTGGTTATGATCGGTCATAGGGCTATCTTGATCGATCATAACTGGTTCTGATCGGTCACATAAATACTTTCTAC